CTATTTGGGAAGGGTGGATAAAGATGTTGACGAATTACTTGAGGGATGGATGGAGGTGATTCCATAGTCTCATATTTTAATCAAAAGGTTTGTTTGAACCAAAGAAAACTCTTAATGACTCAGGCTAAGCAAACATTAAAAGATAAGCCTGGTAATTTTATCATATCCATTCTTCCCAATGTTTACCAAAAAAGTGTTATCTTAACATTTAATTCCTTGAAATCCAAAGGGTAAAACAAAGCAAGATATATTTTGGCTTTCTGAATCTGTATTTTTAGTAGATAGGAAATAAGAGGTCTTTAGAGACAATACAAATTTGGGTAAAGTTAGGACAATGTGCCCTTAACAGCAAGATTGACTTAGTTATGTTCAACTAAATATGGAGTTTATATAGTCTTAAAAAATGGCAGAGCCAGCCCCAGGGTCTAATGGTTAAGGAAGCCTGCTCCCACATGGCCAAATGCTCAGTTCAAATCATGGCCCTGGCAGTTGAAAACATGCTTGGCACATGCAAAGGCATGCCCCAAATCCCAACAGGATAAAGAGATGGAGAAGGAACTGTGGCATGACCGCACTCAGCTGAAGTGTTCATTCTCCCTCTGTCTCTGGCAAGCACACATGTCCTCTGGCATACCATAAAAATAAACACACAACCAAACAAAAAACAACTTAGTGACAAAATCCGTAGGCAATATCTGCTTCTAAGTCTGTGAAAAAGAGATGTATGGAAAGATTGAAGAATGTTTTGGGTTTTTTGTTTCTTCTAAAAAGGAGCTAGCAAAACAAAATTGACTATATTTGTAACCAGTTCAGTTTAACATAACCAGTCCAAGATGAATGGTCAAGTGACACTTTCTGCATACATTACCTGTATCTACATATTCTCCAATTAAAAATACTTACATAGCATAAAGGGACAAAAACTTGGGTTGGAGAAAATGTCAAGATTCTGGAACAAAACTACAGAAGAAAGCATTGGGTGTTTTGGTATGATTTGAAATAAGTGCTACATGGCACAAGACAAAAGAATGGTTAAACCTCTGACAATATTCTGAGCAGTCTTGGGTTACACAGCATATAAAAGAGAGAAGGTGGAATTCCAGACAGAGGTAAGGGCAAAAAATAATGTTGAAATTTTCAGAACAGGTATGTGAAGAGAGAACACTCAGAAGGCATGAACCAGAAGACAGAAATAAACACTAGAAGAGGTTCCAGGGTCTCAAATATGTTTTAGCAATCCAAGTCGTTGACAAAACTGGAAACACATCTTAGTGAGTGGTCTACACATTTGTACTCTCAAGTTTGAAAATATTTCACCTTTTAGTCATGGCCACTTGTTCAGCAATGCTACTACATATGATTCAACACTATTCCTCTGCTTGGCTTCTGTAAACCTATTGAGTTCCCTGCCCACAATAAGAAACTCAAGATGCCATACAGATTAAAACACAAATAAGCTATGACATTTAAGAATGAATCAGAAAAGAATCTAACTGAAGAAGAAAATAGACAATTTCATATAATCCCCTATAATTTGCTCAGATCTAGTCAATAAAATTTTTTGGCAACTAAAGCAGAGAGGAAACATGTTCTCTGGCAGATTCTAAGGTAGTTAATTCACAGCTGGGAAAGCTCTATGTGATACATAAAAAAAAAATAAAGACAATACATGGTGGAAAGAAAGGGAGCTGCTTGGGGCAGGAGTAGGAGCAGAACCAATCAGGTTCTCCTCCCTGACTCAAGTCAGGGGAATCCTTTAATTAAACCCTTCAGAGAGGGCTCTGTTTCCACCTACAAGTCAGAGATCTGAGAATAAAACCACAAGAAGGATCTAAGCTAACGGTCATATTTTGCTCCTTATTTATTTGTTTGTTTGTTTTTCATTTCCCAGAGGGTCCATATACTTGCTAGAGAAAGAGAGAGAAAGAAAGCATCCCACAATGGGGCATGGTTATGCCACAGTCCCTTCTCCTCCATTTCTCCATTATGATAGGATTTTAGGCATGCATGCACAAGCACCTGGTGTAATTTTTCAAGTCACTAGATGCAAGATTCTAATTGTACAGTTAGTCATATGGGATCCATCCAGTCCCCTTAATCACTAGGCCACAGAACTGGCCCAATAATGTATTCATTCAACAAAAATTTACTAAGGAAGATTGTTGGTCCAACCCAAAACAAGTTGGGGAAGAAGAGTCTACAAAATGATAGTCACGAGTTCATGAAGGATGAGGGATTATCAGACCCTCTCTAAAGATTCACTCTTACTTTTGCCAACCTTCATGTCAATAGGCTACTTGTATATAGGTTTCTTTGACAGTGTGACTTAAGTGTTTAGAAACTTTGTCTAAAGTTGGTTATCTATATTGCTTAGGTAAAAATATATTCTTTCACTTTAAGTGCCCTAAATAAATGAAATTTAACTTGAGTTATAAATTAATAGGTCTTCTGGTCAGGATCATAAATGATTACCTATCTTCAGTATTTTAGTATAAGCTACCATTTTTTTAAAAATTTTCTAAAGGAACTATACACTCGCCAGAGAGACAGACAAAGAGGAAAAATGAGAAAGAACCTCCCTTTTGAGGATTGTCACACTGAAATCCTACCTTCTCCATTTCTTCTTTCCAGATTCTGGGCACATATGCACATGTACCCAGCATGTTTTTCAAGCCACCAGGTCAAGGACTTGAACCATTCAGTTGGCCATGTGGGATCCAGCCACCTTAATCACCACACTACCAGTGGGTCCACAGGCTACATTTTAGTGGTGCTGATTATACTATTAAAGTAAAAGGGAAACAACAATAATACTTCTTACCCAAGCAAGAAGTTTTAGAAAGACACAAAAAAATGAGATAAATGATGTGCAAAACTAATTGTTTTGGATAAAGAGCAATTGCTAAGATTAATGACTATTCCAACTGAAAACAAGTTGGGAAGGAAGAGTCTATAAATTTTCTCAAATTTTTTTCTTAGTACTTGCCCAGTTCAGCTAATTATACTGTGCTAAAATGAGCTTTAAGGCTGCTGGTTTTATTGTCCACCATTCATAAGTCACCCTATAATTTAAAAAGAGAAAAAAAAAGGCCAGTTTACATATGAAGAAAATATTAAGAAAAATAAACTCTGGCTATAAGTATTAATGAAAGTTATAAATATCTAAACAAAAGAATACAGAAAAACAACTCCAAAAAAAGGTTAAATTTTTCTTTATAGGTTTTGGGATGTATTAACCAAAAATGAGTTTGTTTGTTTTTTTTTTTCAAAAATGAGTTTTTATTTTTTACCTAAATAGTGAAGATAATTTAATTTTCCTATATTTTAGTATAAAATACAAGCACATCTCACTCCTTTTTTTGGATTCTTTTTTAACTTCTTATTGACATATAACAATTATATATATATCTGTGGGTTACAATATGATTTTTCAGCACAAGAATATAATGTGTATTGATTGAATCAAGGTGATTAGTACATCCATCATCTTAACTATTTGTCAATATTTTGAGAAAATCAAAATCCTCCTTATTTAGTTACCCTGAGCTATAAGGTACTAGCTATATTCATCCTATTGTAGTTTATTAAAAATTGTCCTCTCAATCTATGTGTAATTTTGTTCTCATTAAACAACATTCCTCTGTCCTCTAATGCCTCTTCCTCTCAGCTTTTTCTATTTCTATAATATTGCGATTATGTAATTTCTGCCTTGTTTCTTAACTGCTCCTGTCTAGTTCCATTTCATACATATATGTATATATATATATATATATATATATATATATATATATATATATATATATATATATATATATATATATATATATATATATATATATATATATATATATATATATATATATATATATATATATATATATATATATATATATATATATATATATATATATATATATATATATATATATATATATATATATATATATATATATATATATATATATATATATATATATATATATATATATATATATATATATATATATATATATATATATATATATATATATATATATATATATATATATATATATATATATATATATATATATATATATATATATATATATATATATATATATATATATATATATATATATATATATATATATATATATATATATATATATATATATATATATATATATATATATATATATATATATATATATATATATATATATATATATATATATATATATATATATATATATATATATATATATATATATATATATATATATATATATATATATATATATATATATATATATATATATATATATATATATATATATATATATATATATATATATATATATATATATATATATATATATATATATATATATATATATATATATATATATATATATATATATATATATATATATATATATATATATATATATATATATATATATATATATATATATATATATATATATATATATATATATATATATATATATATATATATATATATATATATATATATATATATATATATATACACAAATATATATATGTATATATATTTATAAATTGTCACTGAAATAAAGGAAAGTAAAGAGTGTAAGCATATGAGTGAATGGGAGTTCTTATAAAGTGAAGTTTATATCACTTAAATCACAATTTCATCTAAGGAGGCACCATTCTTGAGGATGTTAGAAACAGATTATGCCCCAAGAAGCTGACAGCCTATCAGAGCGAATACGGAAAGCTGCACACACAATAACTATGAATTCCAAGAAACATGGTCTAAGAGGGAGAGGCCACACTTGACTGTGGGGAGTAGGAGGTGGCAGGGAGACACAGCTCTGAAGCCGAATGGCCCTATTTCTACCTGGAATTTTGTTCTTTGCTGTTGTGTTGTTTTATTTTAAAAAATAGAAAACGATGTAAAATGCATCTCAGGGTGGCTTTTACCCCCAAATCCCTGGGCCCATCTACTAGTTCTTCATGTGCTGCATGAAGAACTCTGACCACGGTAACATGCACACGGCCTCGATTTATCACCAGGGCTTACTTACTCATTCAGATGCTGAAATCTTGCCTGCCAGTTAACAGCCCGAGCAACGTTCCCAGTTTTATCAACCAGCTTAATTCCAAAAAATTCCAGCATCATTTTATAAGCCAGAAGAAATCTTCTAATTGCTTCTTTTGTTTTTTTGAATTCCTAATATTAAAACAAAAATAAGAAAAAAGTCAATTTAAATGATTCAGTAGCTACCAGGACAATAATAAAGCAGTGTTATTTAGCCACCTCATATAAAATGAAATGAGCTTGTATTACCTCGATTTCATATGTAGTTAGTTCTTTAGCATAAAAGTTTAAGCCTTGTTCTCTCAGGGGAAAAAGCCTATTTAAAAAATAAATAAATAAAATTTTTCTGTTAACATTGTCTTGAAAACATGCAGGATGAAATAGGAAATGTTCAAGATAGATAATATGTAACTAACCATTGAATGTAAGTGTGGTTGTGCTCCAGTTTTTCATAATCTCCTTTCCATTTATTTAGAACTTCTTCAATGTAAACACCTAAATGGTAGATATTTGGAAAATGAACCAACACTTAAAAACATTGTGAAGGCATTTTAAAATTTGAATTATCTGAGTTTTATTTAAAAAAACCTAAAAATTTAGTTAACAGTATACAAGAATAATGGTTTTAAAAGATGAATACCCTATGCTATATAGTTAGCTATATAATAAAACTATTAAAAAAAAAAAAAGTAATGGCACCTCCAATTGCAGAAAATTCTATTGGTCAATGTACTCTAAAATGGAGGCTGGCAAGCTTGGCAAACTCTGGGCTCTGAGCTGTTCTGTAAATAAAGTTTTATTGAAATACGGCCATGAACATTCATTTATGTATTGTCTACAGCTGTTTCTATACTGCAACAGCAGAGTTGTATAGTTGCAACATAGACCAATTGTCCTGCAAAACCTGAAATATTTACTCTCTGCCCATAAAGGAAACGTTTGCTAACCTCTAGTTCTTTAACTGTTATTTAGGATCAAAATGAAATGCATCCCAGGGAGAAAAGAAAAGAAGGGAAATAGGGAGGGAAGAAGAGAAAAGGGAAGGAAAGAAGCAAAAATAAGAGAGAAGATAGGGAGGCACAACAACAATAAAATTGTTGAGTGCTGTGTCAGTATTATAAACAGTATACATTATCCAGACTGATTTTCACACAACTCTCCCCAACAGTGTCATTATTACTATTTTCCTAATAAGGAAAATCACATACTAGTAAAACAGTAAATGTGGGAACAGACTACATGTCTTTCTGGCTCCAAAAAGTATCCCAACATCCCACTGTTCCCCTATAAAAAGTCACTATAGCCAACTCTTCCTGACTCTTGTAAAGACCATCAAGGTCTTTTAGTGGTCAATTAGTCAGTCTTTCAGAGAAAAAAAAAATCAACAACATAATCCTTCTCTAAATATAACACATCTCATTCTCGTTTCCTCCAAAAATTACCTGTTTGTAGTAGAGACCGACTCTTGGAAGGTTTGGTAAAAAGTTGTTTTGAATTATACTGTTGACTTTACTTGCATGTCAAAACCATTTGTCTCTGTAATTTTCCATTTGATTTAGCTTCCAACTACCCCTACTCCCTAGTAAGTAAAATATGCTATTGCAAGCTTATGCTAACGTGGGCACATGCATACATATATGTACACATACTGGAATGAACAGTGAGTGAGTTCATATAATTTACATAACAAACTAAAATAACATTTATATGACCTTAGCTAAAACTTCTAACTAATCTTATAAGATTTCAAAATAAATTTTGTGACAACGATTACCAGAAAAAATTATTGTATTGCTTGAAGTTACTGTTTTGTTTTTCTAAATTGCTAGCGGGAGCATGCACTTACTGGAGAAAGACAGAGAGAGAAAGTGAGAAAGCCCACCCCGAGTGGGGAATGGCCAGGCTACAATCCCTTCTCCTCCATCTCTCCCCTCGAGATTTTGGGCACACATGTGCCCAGCTTGTTTTTTCAGTTGCAGGGTCCAGGACAGTCAGCCATGTGAGATCCAGCAGACTTAACTGCCATGCCACAGGTGTTGCTGTTTTATACTACCTCAAAAATAAATTCACTACCAGAAACATGAAAATGGAGTTAAATACTGACATGGCTTTATGTTCAATATTTTTAATATTTGAAGGCATTCCTTTCAGTAAATTTTATAAAATTCTAATCAGAGTCAAATTAGTAAACTATCATTGCATTTCTTCATTGCATCATTTTCTTCCTTCAAAAGGTTTTTCCTTTTATCTAAAGTCCTTAACAAAACTAATAATTTCATTAACATCTGTCCATTGTTAAACAAAGCAGCACATTTCCATCATTAGTAAATGCAACAGTGCATTTTTATCCATAGGTTTACCTCCAAATCGGTGCAGCCTCTTTGGGACACCAGAAAGTTAAAGGCAAGTGAACTTAGCTTTCCCAGCAATGTTTCAGTCTCAGGACTCCCTCCTCCCAATACTCCCTCTCTCCTCTAGTTACTTCACCTAACAAGGTGAGGTCCTGCTGCTCTGAAAGCTTTGTGACCCTTATTCCCTGACCCACATCACTCTGGATAAACCTGCAAAGAACAGGAGCCAGGGCCATCTGGTCACCTCACACAAATAAGGGCTGGTTTGACCCGGATAAAATTGGGATATGTCCCACAAACCGCAGTGAGGTACCTCACAGAAATATGCAATTACGTGGTCATATTACCATAGCAGCCACATCCCCTCCCCTCACTATGGGTTTGGAAAAGATACAAGGGCAACTGCAGAATTGCAGAGACAGATTATTTGACAGAGCTGGACAGAGAGCTACTTATCTGAAGTCCCCTCCTCTGAATACTGAAATACTGAACTGGGCCTGACTGCTACAGCTTCCCAACACCCGAATCTGAAAACCGCCAGATTCTACATATAAACAGCACTTTCGATCACATTCTGATAGTTTCAGGTATGACACAGTGGAAAGAACAGTAGGCTCCGGAACCTAGACCCAACTCTGCAGTCAACTGAATGCCCCAGCAATCAATCATTTAAGATTTAAGTCCAAGCAACCTCATCTTTGAGATGGGAAAGCTGAACTTGATCTCCTCTAATACTCCTTAATAATCTGAAGTTCTGTGGTTCTATAAATCTCTTCTCTTTTCATCACAAAAACTGCCACTAGTATCTTCCAGGTAATAGCCAGGGTATAGGGGTGGTAGGATGCTGTCACTAATCCTTGGCCATTCCTTCAGAATTTACCGAGTGGATGCTCATCACTAAGGCCTAGGATTTGGAGGACAGCTTAGACTACAGCGCAGAGGAAAGCCAGTCAATGAAAAATGCATTCAGAATGTACTAACCACAGAATGAGTAAGGAATATCCAGGTGTATGTTGTTATTTAAAGTTTGCTTTTTACCAAAGTAGCAGGATACTCACCATCTGGCTTAAACGGAATTTTATTCTTATAAAAACGAAGATTACTCAAGTCATTTTGATATCGGATATCTTTGAAGTTCTGCTAAAGGAAAAAATAAATCAATCTCCAGCATATGGAAATATAAAAAAGGCATAAAGACCCTTCTTGTATGCTCTCTCATTGGCACCACAAAATTAGAAAAGCAAACAGAATATTTTATATTTTAGGAAAAAAACATTCTATACTCTTACTGGGTACTGGTGCCGATATTTGTATAAATCCCTTGCAGCATAAAAGCTTCTCTTTGGTTTGGCAGTTGCTTCAGTGGAATCACCATCCTAAAATAAAAAGTGAAATTTCATTTACATGTTGAAGCAAGATAATTTAACAGAGAAATTTCCAGAATAAACTTAAAATAATGATCATCTCTAAAGAAGGCCTAAAAACTGTTAACATGTCCATATTAATGAAAACACTACAATAATGCTTACTAGAAAATGTTCAGCTATTCTCCTTATTTGACCCAAAAACATTTGCCCTAAGGCATAGTTCTAAATAAAAGTTTTATTATTCACTACAAGCCTATAATGGTCAAATCTTATGGTTCAATATCCATCAGAAAATTCAAAAAGAATTCACATAAATTTTATAAAATAAATTTTAAAAAATTGTATAAAATATGAAATTTACCAGATGTTACACAAGTGATCCTGTGACTAAACTTATTTCAGAATGCTTTACAGGGACCAGCAGCTAGTGTAATGGCTATGTTGCTGAACTCCCATGTAGTCAACTGCGGTTCAATTCCTGGACCCAGTGACTTAAACTCACGCTGGGTGCATGTGCGTGCGTGCCCAGGATCTCACAGAGGAGAATGGAGGAGAAGGGATTGGAGTGTGGACATCCCCCCTGGGGGGGTGATTTCTTGCTTTCTGTCTCTCTGTCTCTGTCCTTCTGGTTAGCGCACATTCCCTATAGCAAAACATTCTATACTCTTACTGGGTACTGGTGCCGATATTTGTATAAATCCCTTGCAGCATAAAAGCTTCTCTTTGGTTTGGCAGTTGCTTCAGTGGAATCACCATCCTAAAATAAAAAGTGAAATTTCATTTACATGTTGAAGCAAGATAATTTAACAGAGAAATTTCCAGAATAAACTTAAAATAATGATCATCTCTAAAGAAGGCCTAAAAACTGTTAACATGTCCATATTAATGAAAACACTACAATAATGCTTACTAGAAAATGTTCAGCTATTCTCCTTATTTGACCCAAAAACATTTGCCCTAAGGCATAGTTCTAAATAAAAGTTTTATTATTCACTACAAGCCTATAATGGTCAAATCTTATGGTTCAATATCCATCAGAAAATTCAAAAAGAATTCACATAAATTTTATAAAATAAATTTTAAAAAATTGTATAAAATATGAAATTTACCAGATGTTACACAAGTGATCCTGTGACTAAACTTATTTCAGAATGCTTTACAGGGACCAGCAGCTAGTGTAATGGCTATGTTGCTGAACTCCCATGTAGTCAACTGCGGTTCAATTCCTGGACCCAGTGACTTAAACTCACGCTGGGTGCATGTGCGTGCGTGCCCAGGATCTCACAGAGGAGAATGGAGGAGAAGGGATTGGAGTGTGGACATCCCCCCTGGGGGGGTGATTTCTTGCTTTCTGTCTCTCTGTCTCTGTCCTTCTGGTTAGCGCACATTCCCTATAGCAAAAACCTCTCAAAAAAAAAAAAACAAAAAAAACGAATGCTTTACATAATACTGAAAATGTATTAAGATAATAAATCAACTCTACAAAGAAAATTGTCATTAAATTTGCAACAGTTAGCTATACTTGCAAGTCAAGTAATATTTATGCAAAGGAGGATTTTAAAATAATCTAACTAGCTTTCTAAACTCCATCCTTTGACCCACCACTATAAGTACACAAAGATATGAATCATCATCTGTCCATTCAAGTTTAATACAATATGATATAAATTAGCCCATGTAAAATACAATAAAAAGTTCTCACACAGAATTAACATCAGACTGAAGTAATTTATTTGTGGTACCTTACTCATACTATTTAAATTCTAAGAAAAATTATCACCGCCATGAAGTCATTTTTGTAGTGTAAGATAAAGGCCAACTTAATCCATTTATACTCTCTAACTATATATACTATTACATGACAAAGTGCTTTGCATTCTATGTAATAAAGAACAATCAGACTGATGAGAATGATGAAAAAGACTACCAAGTTGAGGCCTGAATATTCATTAAGAGCATTGCCCAAATCCTCTTCTCATCATCCCCTGCCCCCATCTGTGTTGACAGACTGGCATCCTCTAAGCAATTTTCACACATTTTTGAAGTGGTGTGATTCTCACTATTACTACAGAGATACTTACTTTAACACCAAATCCTCTGATGTTTAACATTACTCTGTCAAGTTACATAAGCAAGGAAAAACTTAAATTCTAGTCCTCGCCACACATTTCAAAATAGCTCTGCCTAGCAAGTTTCTGAATCTATTTAGCCTAAGCTACAACCATATGAATCATCATCCTACATCTGTAGAGAGCACTTTTCCATTTACAAAGCCTGCCCATGTATATTATTTCATTTTATTCTTCCAGGACACCTGCCTGATAGTTATTAGTGTTCTCGTTTTAGATACAGGTAACAGAGGCTCAGAGAACTTGGACAAAACCTAAAACCCAGAAACAGTGCAAGATCTAGAATCCCAGGCTTCAGACTCCGTGTTCAATTAATTAGGTCTGAAGCAATTTTAACGGCACTAAATGTGAAGGTTATATGGTTATATGCTGATATTAATCAGTGGCCAAAAACTTAGTCAGGAGACTCGGGTAAATCTTAACTCTGCTACTTAGTATTTGTGGGGCCTTATGTAAATCACTTAACTGAATCTTAGTTTTATCATCTGTGAAATCAAAGTAATGATTCATGCCCAAGCCTTTCCCAGGATTATCGTTAAGAATGACTGCATTCTCCAACCTCTAAATGTACCAACCTGCCAGCAAATGCCCCTGCTTCTTCAGTTCCTATTTCTTTCAGACCTCTATCGGCCCTCCTATGTGCTCAGCCAGGGACTGCGTTCCTCTTTCCCGGATCATCAGAATTTCCCTCTCCTCTGAATCATTCCTCTCAGGAAATAAACGTGGTACAGCATCTCGCCACCTTATTTGACCCAAGTTCATCCTTAATTACAAGTCCACTCATAGTCCCTGTCTCCTTGTCTGTCTTCTTTGCCCCTTCTCCCATGAGCCACCTCAGATTTTTCTCCTCAGCATCCCATCAAAACAACTCTTAGGAACTTCACCAACCAATCCCCATATTGCCAAACCATTTCTCAATGCTCATCTCAGGGGACTGGGCTGATTAATGTGTCCCTCCTTTTGGAAATCCTGTCAATACTTAGCTTTCAGCATACCACACTCTTCCTGTCTCACTGGGCTTCCTATCAGCCTCCCAGCATCAAATCTTTCCAAGACTTTAAATACCACCAATCTTAGACGTTGATGACTATGGTCCTAGACTGAGCCTCCATTTATTGATATAATGAACTATTCGACAATTCCACTTGGATAACTAATAGGCTATCAAACTCAAGAGAATCCTGGATTTAACTTGTACAGCTACCTTCTCCCTAGACTTCCCCGACCTCGATAATGGCACCACCATCTGCCCAATGTTCACAGGGACAGCAATGAAAGTGGCGAGAAGTCAATCTAGAATACACTTTAAAAGAAGTAACTACATTGACTGTGGGATATAGGGAAGAAGTGGAATTGACAGGCAAAAAAGCAACACCAAAGAGTGGGTTTATTTTTTGAGAAACTAGATGGTGACACAAGAAAACTTCACTATTAAGGGGACTAGAAAGGATTGGTGCAGCTTGGTTGCAACTAGCTTATTTCAACATTAATCACTAAATCGTTTTACGTAGATGGACCTAGTTAGCTAGATTGACTCTTGGCTGATGTTTTTGATATCCTAAACTTCAATGGGAAACAAGCAGACGGGGAAAAACACCTAATGCCAACACGTAAAATATCTAGTGTTTTCCTAGGGTCGAATTAGCAATGCAAAATGATAGAGCAGTGCTGGGGAGCACATTCAGGATTCCAGCAGGTCCCGGTCCTGACACTGGTGCACACATGTTTGAGTCTACATCATTCTCGCTCTGTATGAAGAGCAAGCCGCTCTTTTTCTCTAAGCCTCAGTTTTCTCTAAAGAGGGGATTAAAATGGCAAACTCTCACCCTGAAATTGATGTGCATTTAAATAACATGTTTAGCATAGAGACTGCACTAAGACTTCACGGTTGCTCCTTACCTAAACAGAGACGATCATCAAGATGTTTGAGGCAGTGTGAGCTCTAATGTTGAGGTGATGGCTCCTGTAAAACCCTGCCGCCACACTGGACTTTGGGTTGCATTGCTCACCCTCCTTCCCCCATGGCTGACAGAGGAAGGCCTACGGCAGAACAGCCCAACACCTCCAGATGCAGTCTTCTAAGAGCAGACTATGCAGTTCCTCCTTTTTTAAAGTTTCTGCTTATTTCTAGTCCATCAGAGATTAAGGAGGTCATTTATCTTTTTAACTAACCTCTCCTCCAAACCGTATTAGTCAAATGATTTAAGCACAGTTGGATCAACAAGTCTTCTGGGTGAAATAAGATGTTTGAGAAGTGCTCTGAGCTGCTGGGTTCAAAGCCTTACTTGGGTAGGAACTTCCGACGAAGGCCCTGTACAGTACTTTGAATGGCTGTAGACCCCACTGCAAAGGACAGTGCTGGCTGCTTGGCAACTGCAGTCCCACCTCATTCTGAGTAATTTTTACCAATAACACGCACTAGGCGGGTTTTCACAATCCTCTATATTTAGACAGGTTCCTCCCACCCCACCTTCGCATCACCCAGCTGTGCCGCAGAGGAAAGGAAAGCACCCGGTTAAGTTGGCTTCTGCCTTGAGGGACTTCCCTGTCGCACCCACAGACAGGCCCCAGGCCGGCAGCTGGCGGCCCCGGCGCTCCGGGCCCGCAGGCCCCCGCCGGATCCGCGGAGCCCTGGCCCAGCCGCGGGCGCGG